CAGAACACACGACACTTTCACTCCTTTTTTAAAAACAACAGGGGAAAAACAACATAAACGTTCCTGGGAGCATCCTCCACAAACAGTAAATTGTCTTTTCTTGCTTCATTTTTGCAGCTCACTTTGACTGTTTTCATGSCTATCTTTCTACACATGTAAGTCAGGTCAATACAAAGCAAGTGTGAGAATGTCACCCGAGGATACCAAAAACACAGTTAAAGTCACCCCTCTGCAGGGTCATATTGAGGAATAACTTCGACCTTGAGTGAAATAAATCATTCATGTGTTGGGGGTAATCTTGGCCCAGCTCTTTGTTTTATTTGTATGTTTTCTTTTGGAATTACTTAAATTGATGTGACCTCCGAGAGTTAATTATGTGCAGGTGTCCTTAATGAAACATGTGTCTGGTCTGGCCTAGTTTATGTTTCCCTGCAGCAGTTATTCTCCTCTGTGGGATAACTCTACTGCTCTGTGTTTGAATTGATCTGTCAGTAGATTGGGGCCTGCTCAGTAAATTAAAGTCAGGGAGATGGTCAGGATTCGCTGTCTCCTGAGGAATATTTAAGGAATAGAAATTACAAAAGATGAGTGGGTTTGGGAGGTGTTTTTTTGTTTTGTTCTCTGTTKCTGCGTTTGTTTGGTTTTCTTCCTGCAGTAGTTTGATCACCCATAATCAAAGCAGCAGGAGTCAAAAGATCAGGAAAATTACCCTAGTGAACAGTCATTATAAAGCAATAAAATTCATTTTATTGTTCTGCAAACTTGTCTATGCATCTTGGACTTGGAAAGTTTTGCATTCTTTCATTACTGGGAATTAKTGGTTTCTCGCCTGTTTGGCATTCAATAGGATAAGAGTTCCTTCAGATCAGGTCCCATGTATCCTGGCTCCATGAAGAATCCTTTCCTTAGAGCACCTTAGGAAGGGCTTCAAAAAGCAGCATATCCTGGGAAGATGTTCCTTAAAGACCACCACTCTCAGGTCAATGCATRTTGCTCCTGGCAAAGGGCTGACTTCAAATTCACCTGCCATCCAGGTRTCCTAATAGAAGCCTGACATATTTTTAACTAACTTATTAATGAAAAACATAAAATACTTTTTGACACATGACATTTAATTTGAATTTATCTTTGAGTTCTAATGTTTGTCTAAAGCTATAGGAGTACCACAGTCACAGAAGTACATGTGCCAGTGCCTTCAATGAAGCAGTCTCTTCACACCATTTAATCCAATTTGCAGCTCACTTGAATGGTGTTTGGCATTTGCAAATGAAGTGGTTCCACCATGACTGTCATTGGCTGGAYTGTGAAATGCACATTACCTGTCATTTTCTTGACCTCAAAAAAGAGAACCCAGTGGAGACTTAAGCCTTTAATTAAATATGTTCTGACAATTGTTTTAGCCACCAAAAACTATGATCTTGTTTCTATTGAATTACAATTATAGCATTGGAATAAAAAAATTGCAGACTTTGTGCTGGCTTGTTATAAATATAACATAATGCATACTCTGTTCTCTGTTATTTAAGCATATTTGAAGCAGAATACTCTCCAGTCTACAGGAGCTGTCTTGCATTCTGTAGGTAAAATCCTGTCAGATGTTGTCCATGTTAATATCAGTTTGCATTCCATTTCAAAGCAGTGGTAAATGTGTGTACAAAAGGGGATGTCTTGTGTTTCATGCCCTGGGTGTAAAACACTTCACTGTTTCATCTCACTTGATCAATGYTCAGTGATGAAATTGCTGGAGCTTCTTTTCTCTCTGATGCAAATGCACTGCACTGTGGTGTCACAGAGGAATCTTTTGTAGCATCTCGCTTCCTCAGTGCTCACTTTCAACACCTAACAAGACTTCATTTTCTCTGGTGTCTCATAAAACCTCGGTGGCTTCAAGTCCCAGAAGTGGCTCCATTTAAGGGCTGTGTCTCTATGCCAGTTCTAATGAGTTAATGAGTTATTGTCACAAAACATCMCATTTCTGGGCAGGCAACAGCAATGATGGCAGTTTAGTCTCTATGAAAGGAGCAACTGAGGCAGCRATGTCATCCTGGTTCCATGACAATAAGACAAATTACTGGCTTACATTTATATTACCACTTATCCTGAAASTTTGATTCACCTGACATTTAAAAACAGAAAAAAAATCTAACTTTTCTTAGAGAATGTCCTTACTTAGTATACTATAATCCTGATTTTCAATTTTATTCCTAGTTTTGATGGACAAGAATTGAGATGTTTGACTTTGGCAAACCTACATAGTAATTTATTTCTGTGACCAATCCTTTTTTAGGATTCTCTCCTCTGAAGTCAGTCTTGGGAGAGAAATCACACTCTAGAATAGCAATGCAGACACATGGGATTTATTTGATCTCTTCTTTTAGCCCAAACTCTGTGTTTACTGGGGAGTGACTTGTTATGTTTTGATATAGTTATAGTAGTATTCCACAACCACTAAAATCTTGTCCTAAAAAAGCAACCTTTTTTTATTAAGAAAAACTACACACAGATCCTTTTATATGGTTTTTGTAATCCAATTCCCAGGGACAAAAAGCATACTGCATAGGAAAAGATAGTATTATAGAAAATTGCTAACTTGGATGCCGAAAATAAATGACAACAAATGAAAATAGAAAATAATTAAGAAAACAAAAAAAAAAAAAAAAGGAAGACATGAGAAGGCTCTCAGGTAAGTTTGTAAAGTCTTCTTCCACTGCTGCTGTTCACTCATGGAGCATTTGCTTATTGTTTTATTCTGAGACAAATGTGCTTTAATTAATGAAGAATTACATGCAGAGGGTGACAGAAATCTCCTTGGCTGACTGTAAAGTCACTATGAAAAACAAAACAAAACAAAAAAAAAAAAAAGTCCAAAGCTCCAAACTTTGTCCAATATGCAGAAAGGAAATAATAAACCAGTTTATATACTATTCAACTTTAAATGTAGTTTAGTATTTTAGGGTTGATTTTCTGCACTTCCTTTTGCCCTGGAAGTGATGAACAGTGGCTTTGTCTAGTACAAAGCTAAAATGAATATTCTGCAAATACAAACGAAAGGTCATCCTCTTTTTATCCTTCCCAGCTCACAGGTTATCTGGGGAAAAACCCTGCCTGGAACATTGACCCCGACGCCACCTTTTCATGGCTTTGGGAGTGACTGTGGCACACGGACAAACATCTCCCCTGTTCCTGTCGGGGGATGTGGCGTTCGGGCAGAGCCACAGGAGCTGCGGTCCAAGGGATGTCACTCGCTGTGTCCCCTGGCACAGTCACAGTGTGCATGGCCGCGATTCCTTCCCTCACACGGGGAAATCTGCAGGGCTGAGGCTGCCGCAGGACCGTGGTGTCCTCAGCACAGAGCGATCGATGTCAAATTCAAGTTGGTCCTTTAAACATACATGGGTTCGTACTTTTAGGATTTATGATGTAAACATACATTGGTCCGTACTTTTTATGTTCTTTGGGGTTTGCCGTGAACTGCAGCAGAGCACCATGAGAAGGAAGGAATTTGTACAGTGCCGTATACTCAGTGTGGGGTGTATTAGGATATTGGGATCTCTCAACACTCTTTCCAACGGCAGCTGTTCGATGTTCTGTGCTGCTGTCACCAGCASGAGTGGGTTCCTCACCCTCAGGAATGAGGGAATGGTGTCCGCTGTGCTCAGCTCCCGCACCCGCGGGTCTCCAGCCTTCTGCAGGAACTCGTGGGAAACCCAACCCATAAAATAACGGGCATTTGTTGCAGGGTGCTGTGTCAGTGTGTAGGGACGGGTCCGCAGCACTGACATTGTCAGCCCAGGGCTGGAACGGGACTGAACGCCGCCCCAAAAACCGCGCTCGCCACAGGGGAACAGGCCCCGCCCCCCGGGCGTTGCTAGGCAACGGGCTGTGCGTTCCCAGCGTGCCTCGCGCCCCGTTCCCGCGCTGCCGGAGGGGCGCTGGCCGCCATTGTGTGCGGGCCCGGCCATGGACGCAGGTGCGGAACCGCCCCGGGACGGCTCCGGGGCTCCTCAGGGGCACCGCGGGGCCGGGTCAGGGCTGCTCCAGGGCACCGCGGGGCCGGGTCAGGGCTGCTCCAGGGCACCGCGGGGCCGGGTCAGGGCTGCTCAGGGGCACCGCGGGGCCGGGTCAGGGCTGCTGGCGGAGCCTCCGGGCCCCCGGCGTGCCGGGTGTAACGGTGCCGCGCAGGCCCACAGGTGACGGCCCGGAGAGGCCGCCGCACGGGCGCTGGGCCCCAGGAGCCCGCAGGCCGCGCGTACTCGCCCTGGCCGGGCCGGCCCCGTGCTCCGTGTGCCCCGCTGTGCCTCCGTGTGCCTCCGTGTGCCTCCGTGTGCCTCCCCCCGTGCGCCTCCGTGCGCCTCCCTGTGCCTCCGTGTGCCTCCGTGTGCCTCCGTGTGCCTCCCTCCGTGCCCACCGTGCCCCTCCGTGTGCCTCCGTGCGCCTCCGTGTGCCTTCCCACCCTCCGTGTGCCTCCGTGTGCCTCCCTGTGCCCTCCGTGTCCCTCCCTGTGCCTCCGTGTGCCTCCCTGTGCCTCCGTGCCCCTCCGTGTGCCTCCCTGCGCCTCCCTGCGCCTCCGTGCTGACAGCGGCACTCGGTCGTTCCCGGGCCGGTTTTGTCCTGGGTGACACACCCGGGAGATTACTTTCAAATCTGTTACGTGGGTCCAATTCTTACCGTTTTTCTCTTGAGTCAGATGATACAGGCAATCGACTTCGATTCCAGCTGGAACTGGAGTTTGTTCAATGTCTGGCAAATCCAAATTACCTCAACTGTGAGTTGTTAAAGTAAATACCAGGAGCTTGTATAGTTTAATGATGTTTATTGCTAGTGGTAATGTTAAACATGGAGAGAGGGCTAAACAAAAGAGTTTTTCACACCGTAGTCTGTAAATTGTTTCTTTAACGAGTGGATGTTTTTTATACGCAAAGTCTTGTATTGGTTGGAATGCAAAAAAACCCAATTTGTTTTGTGGAGGAAAAAAAATAACAAGTTCAAGTCTTGTTATTAAACAGTAATGTCAAGTTAACAGCATTCCTTTATCTGAAAACAGAATTCTASTAATGTGAATAGTTTCAGGTACTATATGTAACTCCCTGCTAATATTTATGCTGCAGTCAAAAATTTCCTGTTTGAAAAAGCTGTTCCATTCAATGAAGGATAAAAACTGTAAGGGAGATGAGACTAATATATTGCTTTGTTGGCATAAAAATCTTATTTTTCCCTGTGTTTCTTTTATTTGCCAAGTATTAATTATTGAAATTTGATTGTAATGAGAAAGTTTTGACTTCATGTTTTGYTCTTCAAGTGTGCAGATTTTTTTCACCCATCTGTAACTGGCAATTTCTTATTTGTCATTTGATTTCAGTTCTTGCACAAAGAGGCTACTTCAAAGATCGAGCTTTTGTAAATTATCTTAAGTATTTACTTTATTGGAAGGAACCTGAATACGCCAAATACCTGAAGTAAGTGCTAAATTCTGTTTGATTTCTGCATTTTAATGGTTTGACATTGACCTCATCTTATGAACTGTACAGTAGCAGGTCAGGGTTTCATTTCTGCCTCTAACCATACTTTTGTCCTCCCTGCAATATAGATTATGGTYATATGCAACGTAGATTTTCCTGCTTCCAATAGTCCACATGCAGCTGGAATGGGCAAAATTATAAAAATTACATTAGTTTTGCATAGAATCTTCTTTTAAAGCCTTAATTTGCACTTTCAGCTGGTTTAAAATTGAAGTATTGAATGTTAGAATACAAAACAGTAAGTGCATTTTAAGATAATAATTTTGCATTATTAATGCTTACATGAGACAAAGGGTGATTTTGTGGTTTTGCAAGTGTGCAAATTCCTTCTGTTGTTGGAAAAATAGTTTCAGTCATCTCCTATAAGAGAGCTGTGGAAACAGGTGTTGTAATTGCTATGGATKTGATCTACCAAACCAAGCCATTGGAGAAGCTACTCTGAGCAAGCAGGAATGTGCRTTTATAAATGGGTTTGGACTCCTTGTTTCCAGCCTGATGCTGAAGTTACCAAGTCACAGTGTTCAGGCTGAAGTGGTTTCACACTTGAGTAAAGCACACACAAGTCAAAACTAAAATGATGACCCACAGAAGTACTGGAGACTCCAGATTTAGTGTCCCTTGTAAAAACACAAGTGTGTTTATTTTTAATCCAGGTATCCTCAATGTTTGCATATGTTAGAGCTGCTCCAGTATGAACATTTCCGCAAAGAACTGGTCAATGCTCAGTGTGCCAAATTTATTGATGAGCAGCAGATCCTCCACTGGCAGCACTATTCCCGGAAAAGGATGCGCCTTCAGCAGGCACTGGCMGAGCAGCAGCAACAAAACAACACCTCTGTCAAATGAAATGCAGATGGGGTATAACAATAAGGCATGCTTTGTGTTAGTGATTTCCAGGAGAGGAATGAACCTTTGCGTTAGTTTGCCTCTGGATGCGTGTCCCTTTTATTTGAATTTATCAAGTGACTGGGGTTGATATTGTTTCATCAACTCTTTAAAGACTAATAAACACCTGCAATTTATGGACAATTTTGTAAGAGCTTTATTTATGATAGTTACTGATTTCTCTTGATTTTGAAAAACAAAACATACGTTTGTTACTACAAAAAGAGTAGCTCTAAAGGCTGTTCCTAAGGAGCCTTTTCCCTGGAGAATAATGATGGGTCTTAAGTSTCACTGAGAACTCCCTGCTACTTACAGCTTGGGACAAGCAAAGGTGAAGTCATGATGGATAAAGCTGAAATTGTGAATTTTTCCTGGAAACCAAGCTATTACCTGTCATTTCTGTTTCCCTGGCAGTCATTGYTGATGGGAGTTTTGCAGTGTTCCTTACATCAGGTTGTATGGATAGAAATCAAGAGCRTACAAGGGGAGGACTGGGGAGTGGAACAGAGATAAGTGCTGATAAACTCTGCAGAYAGAAACAAGCTGTACCTGTCTCTGTTGGATTAAACTTAGCTTCCTKGAATCTTGGCCTCTGCCCGTGCAGCAGTGGCTGGAGTCTCTTTACACTCCATGTAAAGAGATCAATGTGTGTGGGGAAATGTGTCATTACTGAGAGTATTTGACAAATACTTGCCATTTATTCCTCTAGTTTTAATTATAATAACATAGCTCTTGGTAGCTGCCAGTGTTTTAATTTCTGTATTTTTAGACTATTTCTGATGCATTCATGTTGTAGTTCCTGTCCTTGTAGGAGGACTGTTAACCATTAACATGTGATCAGTGACACTACAGCTGTCCGCCATCACTGCATTTGGAGTGAACAGATAAGCCATTAAACTTTTTTGGCATTGAAAGTTCATCTTAACAGTTTAAGTAATCATGTGATCAGGCTTAGGAAAGAGGTTTTTCTGTTTCTCCCCTTCCTCCTTACTCACTATGATAAGTAAYTTAGCAGTTACTCTTCAGTGAGTGYATGCTAATCTCAGTTTCTAACAARAKCTCAGCTCCTTTGACAAGAGGCTGTTCACAAACTCAAGTTTATTTGGTCATGAAAGTAAAAATACAGGTTTTTTGTTGCAAGATTTTAGAGTAACATTTGGACCCAGAATTTAATGACATTTATCTTGACTAGGCTGAAGTAATTAATCATGAAAGTTTTATCAAAGGTCAGTGATTCCTTGAAAGGACACTGCAGTAATTGAGATTACTATCTTCGTCAATGATTGACTAGTGAGGGCTTTAGTCTTCAGTAAACAACATACGAACAAGCTCTGCTTTAAAACACTCTTCTTCGACCAGCTTCTGAGGCTGAAAGGGAAAGTTTGCATGTTTTAGGGGCAATTAAAATCCTGTTCTAGCCCAGAGCCATCTGTACACGCTAACATTAGCCACACCCAGCAACGGTTGTCCCGGGGAGTGAGGGTAGTGGGGGTGGAGCAAAACAGGCAATARCTACTGAAACATTCCTGAGGGTTTTCTGGCCTTGGAAGAGGCATTTCTGAGAAAATAACTGCTATTTTGACTAGTATGTACAAGTTAAAACTTGAGCTGCAGTYTGAGTTGAGTTTACTGCTCATATATGTTTCCCTCCCATAGTTCAGCATTTGGCTTTTTTAAAAGTTGAGGAGCTRCAGATCAGGAACATTAACAATATGTAGCCAAGAATTTTCTCAACCCCTCAAGCACTATGAGCCCAGTGTACCTATTCCCTTTACTGCTTGTTTATTATGGACATGACACAACAAGCAGAATGGTTCTCTCTTGAACCGTTGAGTGAGGAACAGGGAGCAGAAGAGCTGTCCAGAGTGGTCTGGTCTCCTTGAACGAGAGGGCTCTCAGAGAATACTAGTGACTAATTCATTTACAGCCCTAAGTTCCTACCCGGTCTCCATCTCAATGCCTACAGATCCAGAACATAAATCACTTACTGTTCCATATTTAAGTAGTGTAGGCACTCCTGTTAATTTCAGATTCTTCCTGAATTCATTGTTGGGATCCTTCCAGCTGTTCAGAAAGAAGGCATTAAGCACAGCTTGCAGAGGGGCATTTTGAAGTTGAAATAGCTTCAAAAGAATGATTTAAAGGCCTTTGCCTCACGCCTTCCCAAGCCCCTTCTCAGAACAAGCATGCASATAGTTCATGTCAGAGATGGTGAAGACCTAAAAAATTATTGATTCCTTACAGAAAAGCACAGTTCAGTCAGGTTTTTCAATAGGTTAACTACCAGTCCACCAACAGAGCAAATTTATCCCAATTGTCAGCATTCAAAATTACTTACTAGGCTCTATCTCCTACTAGACAGTAGATGAAAATGGACTCATCAGGCAGGTTATGAAGTTCCTTCCTCACAACTGGCTCAGCTAGAAGATAATTTTTAAAATCCATTAGTACTTAACATTTGTGCTACAGAATCACCTGGATTTACTTGGACCAGCAAGGCTGCGAATTAATGTTCTGTCTCCTTCATTAAGAGATCTGTATTTCCTTTCATCTGGCTATCCACAAGCTTTTCAGTTTATTACATGCTTGAACGTTGACCTTGCATGCGTTAAAGAAGAACTTGGTCKTTACTCAAACATCCAAGAAAAACACTCCTGTCCTGTCCCGTCCCGGGTGGGGCAGCCCAGCAGAGCGCGCACCCCWATGCAGGGGACAAGGATTTCATAACGCACCTGCACACCTCAGAACCAGGCAGCTCAATGCGATGATTTCTGAGCGCTGCCTTCACCCGCTGCTGCTGGACACTGCCCGGGAGGGCACCGGACACCTCCCGGGAGGGCACCGGACACCGGCCGGGAGGGCACCGGACACCGCCAGAGAGGGCACCGGACACTGCCCGGGAGGGCAACCGGACACCGGCCGGGAGGGCACCGGACACCGCCCGGGAGGGCACCGGACACCGGCCGGGAGGGCAACCGGACACCTCCCGGGAGGGCAACCGGACACCGCCAGAGAGGGCACCGGACACCTCCCGGGAGGGCACCGGACACCGCCCGGGAGCGCACCGGACACCGCCCGGGAGGGCACCGGACACCGCCCGGGAGGGCACCGGACACCGCCCGGGAGGACACCGGACACCGCCCGGGAGGGCACTGCAGCCCAGGTAAAAGTGGCAATCGCCTCCCGTCTGTTTGTTTTGAAGGCCGTATTGCAGCCTTCGTGCACAGCCCCTGCACTTCGATGTGGGTAACGAAAAGGGCAGTGCGGGTCACAGCCCACAGCCCGTTCAGTTCACCAGGGGAA